GGACTTACTTGATATTTTCTCATGCTAGTAGACACTTGTTGATTGGGATTTCTTGATTCACCAGTGAACATAATGTCATTGAAATCCCTCCCACAAACCCCTGATTGCAAAAAATTCTCCACACATTTCATTCCTTTCCCTATAGTTGTTAGGCCCATAGACATTGTCATTTCCCATATAAACCCATCCTCAACATTCTTGAATTTAATTGAAACAGAGAATATGTCAGCTTATAATATGCTCATAGTCACTTTGTCCATGGAAAGAAATATGTGTTATTCTACCCTACCTTTTTTAGACAAGCTAGGCACATCATCATCAACATCCAAGCCTAATCCCAACTATATGGGGTCATCTAAGGCACACTGCTGTATGTAGGAAAAAAAACAGATTTAAGACAACACTTGAGTGGGTAATGAACCCCTTTTTTCATCTTCTCTGGGCTTTACTTCATCAACCTACAAATACAAACACACTTGTATCCACTACAACCTCCCTTCCTGTGTTAGGCATTACATGCAATCTGGGTTGTATAAGAGGTTTAAAGGACCATGAAAATCTTCAGGTTATAAATTTATTGAATATCTTCAGTCATATCTTTCTTAATCCCCATGGTGATAACAACAAATTTTGGACCCTTAATACCATTGATCAATTCTCTTGATCTTCTCTTTTTTTTTCTTTTTTGTCTCTTGATGAAACTTCCCCACCTACCCCTTTCCTCCCCTTCTCCAGAAATTGCTTTGTGGATAGGATATGTGCCTCCTAAGGTGAAAGCCTTCTTTGGAAGGCTTCCTTATGCTCAAAAAAAGAACAACCAATTGGTGCATGTCTCCTAATTTGTGACCTCTGAACGAGTTGAGCGAATGTAATCTCTCACAGTTCTTGGTTTGTTCACACCCCATTGTCTTCATATTCACAGAACAACAATTCCATGAAATTTTGGGGTGAGAGGAGTTTCAAGGAACCATAAGTGATTTGATCCTAAGTAGATGGACTATGCTGGCTAACTTTTCTCCCCACAAATTGGTCAGATCTAAGTCATGGGAAGAACCTGAACAAGGACAAATTAAACTGAGGGCCCATTTGGCTTGCAGTCAGAATCAGAATTGACTGGAATGGATTCTCATTCCCAAGGGAGGGGAAGGGAGTGACCATTTCCTCAAATAGGGAAATGCCATTCCACCAGGAAAGGGAATCAGATTCCAATTCCACCCAACCAAACAGTCACAATCAGAATAGACTGTTCCGGTTCCAATTCTATTGAGAACCCAAGCCAACAAGGCATAGGAGTTTTCTGAGACTATAGTTGCAATATAGAATTTGGACTTTCAGGTGCAAGTGGTCTTTCTGGACCCAAGGCGCAAGGCAATCACAAATTTTTAAAAAACATTTAAAAATGCAAAAAATGAAAAATATTAAAATAATATTAATTAAAAAACTACATAATTAAATTTTAAATTAAATGTTTTAGAAAGCTTATTCACTCAAATTAAAATGCATAAACATAGCACATAAAATAAATCCGAAGTGAAAATATATCCAAACTACATAATTAAATTTAATCATGTGAAACTTCCAAGCTCTTTATTTCTTTCCTAATTGCATTACTCTAGTTCTACGAGCCACTTTTTATGAAGCCCCTTAAGGCAAGCCCAAATAAGTCCATGCTAGGGTCTTAAGTTCTTAATCCTTGCTTAAAAAATTGGTTTTATAATTTAGATTTAGTTCCTTATCTTTTAAAAAAATGTCATGTATTAGGAAGAATGAAATGAACAATATTAGCAAACAGGGGGTTCTCAAAGTACCAGCAAGTGAGTGAAGCAAGCAATGTCAGGTTTGGGGAGTCCAGTGCACAAGACTCTCACCAATGTCGGGTTCGGGGAGGAGTTAAGAATTTAAGACCCTAGCATGGACTCATGGACTTATTTGGGCTTGCCTCAAGGGGCTCCATCGGGGGTCTAGGGGTAGAGGCCCCAGCCCAACCACCATGATTAAAAAAAGTACAAAAAAGAACAAACTTTAACAAAGGTACATGCTTGGGCTGAGGCACAAAGCACATTAGGCACATGCCTAGGCACACCGAGTGTGTGCCTTCTAAAGTGTCTAGGTTTGGGCCTAGGTGAGGTGCAATCCTTGACATGTGCCTTGCCTATGCACCTAAGTGCGCCTTTTCAATCACTGGCTTAATTTTTATGGATTAAGATTTGTGGAGGAAAGAGGATTTACTGGTTTCTTTGTTGAAGAAAATTGTTGAGTAGTGATTTTTTTTATGATTGAAATAAGTTTATTAATGAGCAATAGACAATAGTACAAAGTCCCCGAGTAGAGGCACGAGTTGCAACCTCTCTGGGCTAGTTAAGTACGAATTCCAGATTACTAGTAGTTTACAAAGTAGCACAAAAAAGGTCTTCCCTGGAAACCCCCTGTTTGACTAAAGAATCGGCCATAGAATTAGCAGACCTGATTGCTGGTTAACCACTTTACTTTTTTGATGAGATCTTCCTAGCCTCAAATGGTAGTATCCGGGTTTAGAAGCCATCCCGTTACCACCTAAGAGTCCCCTTCAACTAGGAGATGCTCCACCCCAAGCTGGTTAGCAATCTGAATTCCTTGTACTGCAGCAAGGCTTTCTGCCCTTGTGGAGTCTCCTACTCCCACTTGTCCTGAGAATAAGGAGATTAGTTGCTGTCCTTATTTCTCAAGACACCTAAAGGCCCTGGATTACCTTGGCTGCTTCCATCAAAATTCAACTTGATGACACCTTCCAAAGGCGGAACCCATTCTGACAAGATTCTATTCTTCTTTGTTGAAGTGTTAGCTATTATTAACCAATTCCTCCACAAGTCATCAAAGGAGAAATCATCAAACATATATAATGTTTTCAGCCAATGGATTGGTCTTGTAAGAATGCAGTCCTTCACTTCATCTAACCCTCTTTTCCTTCCCTAAAAAAATTCTTCCATTCCTTTCCTCCCAAAGAGTCCACAAAGTGGCTGCCCTGACACATTTCCACATGACTTTGCCTCTTCTAGTGTGCCAAACAAAAAAAGATGGGTTAAATAACAACCTTAAATCGGAAGGCAAAGACCACCTACCTCCAAATAAACAAAGGCTCCAATTCCATAAAGCTGTAGCAAATGATCAGGAGATCAGCAAATGGAAACAGTCCTCATTCTTGGCCTTACACAAGGAACACCAATTTGGGGAAAGACAAGGAGAGGGCCTCTTTTTCTTTAAGTTTTCCCAAAATTGTTGGGTAGTGATTCATTGGTTTCTATTAAAGGCACCTTGGTATTTAAGATTGCAAATTAGAGAAGTATTAGTTTTATTTTCCAATATGAACCACTTATTTGATTTCATTCCCCAGTCTACTAAACAATATTTTGGAAGGCATAGGAGGCATACCTCCAGGTGAGGCACCCAGAAAATGCCTTGAGGTGCATATGAGGTGTATACCTCAAATGTCTTTTTTGATTAGGAAAAAAACTCAAATGCCTTTTGCATGTGAGAGGCATATGCCTCATGCACCCTCACAAAAAAAAGGAAAGAAAGAAAAGAAAAACCTCAAATGCCTTTTGCATGTGAAAGGCATATGCCTCATGCACCCTAATAAAAAAAGGAAAGAAAGAAAAGAAAAGATGGCAATTTGACCCATCCCGTGGGGCTCCACCACACCCCAACCCAACCAGGGTGGGTTTTTTGACCATTGATCCAGGTTTGGGGTGGGTTTCAGGGAAAACTGAAAACTCTAGGGGCCGTGGACGGGGCAGGGATAGTATTTGTCCACCCTGCCCCGACCTTGACCCCGAACCTACCCTGACTATACATAATTGTTAATATACATAATATTATAATATTTATATTATATTATATTATTTGTATATATGATACTATATTACATTACATAATATAATATAGTAGTTCTAGGTAGGTTTAAAAAAATACAAAAAAATTGCAAGTAGGGAATGACCAGGGCGAGGCAACGGGGATAGGGATGGGGTTGGGATTTCTAGCCCCGATGGGGTTTGGGCGGGAATGGGGCAGGGTATTTGAGTTTGGGGTCAAGGCCGGGGCATGCAAAACCCAGCCCCGCCCGCCCCATTGCCATTCCTAGAAAGAGAAGAAATAAAAGAGAAGAAATAAAAGAAATGGAAAGAAAGGGAGGGAAGGGAAAGGGGCGAAGACCACCCCAACACCTTTTTAATGCAGTCCAATTTCAGCTACTGTTATGCATTCTTCTTAATATAAGGCATCTTTCATATAAAAAAAAAAAAAAGGAAAAACATGATGAGATCCTCCTTCCTCTTAATCTTCTTCTTCCTCATCTTAAAGAGGCTTACTCTCTTTTTTTTGATAAATGAAAGAGGCTTACCTTACTCTCTTGTGTTCTGGTTTCTGAACTATGCCTCACGCCTCCAAGTAGTGGAATGCCTCACATCATGCCTCCACGTTTTAAAACATTGCTGTTAACAGACTAGCAGATAGTATAGCCAGGTTGATGCAATAAATGGGGGATTCCACGAACTTTACTTTTTATGAGATTAATTGATGATGTCAGCCAGTGGCTGTGGAAATTGTTTTTCTGTGTACCTCTAACTTTGGAGGGTAAGGCTTCCCTGTATACTCCCCTTCAATAAAATTTACTGTTAATGATCAATGCACACATCCACACACAAAGAAACCACGTTGGAACCCCCTTCCCAACAAAATATAAAAGAAATTAAAATAGAAAAGGGAACTCAACACCCAAATTGATTGAGGCTTTTCATGTGAGATAGAAAAAGAAAACCTGAAAACCTATCAGTTGCTTTAGTTCTTTGTTATCAATTTAAAATGTTCATCAAATCCCCATTTCTTTCTTTTCTTGGTCGACTACACTTTTTTCCTTAGTAATGTAGCAAGTCTCCTTTGGTATTGTTATTAAGAATTAAAAAAACATGTTTTTTTCAAAAAGTTTCTTTGTTTAATGAACTACATTCTGAGAATATGGACCATACCTTCTCACTACGGTGAGAATCATAATCTTCTTGCTTTCGCTTGACGGGTCCTAGTGTATTTTGATCACTCCCTGCAGATTCCTTACTCTTCCTAGCATTCTCTTTATGTCTGTCCTTGTGCATCCATTGGCCATCAGAACCACGTGTAGGGCGATCATTATGAGAACTTGACCTTTCACGCCTTGAATTTCTGTCCTCTCCAATGAGTTGATTATCACGTGCATAGGAATCCTCACGTCCCCTATGTTGTGAAAGACTTTCTTCTTCTAACCGTTCTCTTCTCTTAGGCTGCTCACTGTGCTGCCTTTTATCTTTAAATTGGTACTCTTTGTCAGAACTTAGACCTTTTGAAGATGAATCATCCTTAGCTCTAACATTCCCAGCCCATTGCTTGTCATCTACTCCTCTTCCACTCCTAACTGTTGTCCTCCCTTCTTCTCTTTCCCGCTTTGACATGGTATCTTCATGAGATTGTTTGAGCCTCTGCCGGTCATCCCTTTCCCTTTGACGCCAGCTATCATCTCTGTGCCTAGTGGAGTGGTAGTCATCAGGTTTATCTCTCAGCCTTGCTTGATCATCCCTCCTCCTCTGCTCCAAAACATCATCTCTCTCCCGCTTTCTTCGGCTGGTATCCTCCCTAGTTCTGTAGCTATGCACAAGTTCTTCTTTGTCAGCTTGTTCCCTTCGCTGGTACTCTTCATCCTTCCTTCTCTTGGTATGAGAACTATCCATATTCTCATGATGGCTCATCAAATTATCATCTCTTTCCCGGTGTCTTGGTCCAACCTCTTTATCATGGCGATCCCTCCAATCACCATTGTCGACCCGCTTTCTGGAATGAAGATGCTCATCTTTTTCATTTCTCTCACTTTCCCGGACCTTACTCCTTTGCCTAGATACCACTTCCTCAACACGCTCCCGCTTCCTTGTGTCTTCCTCCTTCAACCTTCTCCCATGTGTTTCTTCATCTCTCCTTTGCAAGGCTCCAAGGGAACTGTCTCTCTCTTTTGCCCTCTCAAAACCCTCAGACTTCATATGTGAATAATGTGGTGAATTGAGATCCCTTTCTCTATGACCATAGGAGCGATAAGAATCTTCCCTCCCTTTTACAACTGTGTGGTTTCGATCCACATCTGATCTCACATCTTGGCCATGATCATTTCTCCTTCTGAAACTAATGTCATGCTCATTGTAATGCCTTTTCATATCCCTTGTGTGTCTAGGCTGTCCGTCTTGAACAACTTCCTCATCACCTTCATGTCGCTTCTGGTATTCTCGGCTGCTCCCCGATCTTGCTTTGCTGTTGTCACTACTACGTGCTGCCCTTAGGTCATCCCCTTCACCATGTTCTTGGACTGCAGGCTGTTCGACCAGAGAACTCAGTTTTTGTTTCTTAACAGAATGAAGTACAGTTCCGTCATCAAGGTTATCACTTGGGACTATTGTATCTGAAGCCATTTCATCCCCTTCCACTTCATTGTTTTTATCAGGTAACACAAGATCATCATTTGCATTATCTTTTTGTTCTACACTTGGCTCCCTTACAGCTTCTATTGTGATAGGGGATGACGAATCTGGACTCTGTTTTCCATCAATGCTTCCCCCTGACTTCTCCTTTTGACTATCATGGGATCTGTTCAGCTGATCACTTTGACTTGGGGTTACTTTTCCATCCTTGGTTGTTAAATGGGGATATCGGTCACGCGCTGTTCCTTGTGGCCACCTGAAATTGAAGGAGAAAGGTAATATTGCATAAGTTCGCATAGAATGTTATTTACCCTAAATTAATACAACCTGTAAAAATAGACACCAGTGACAGGTGGAACAAGATAAAAATATATATCATTTATGAATGAGAAAAACCCCACCAGTGTGAGTTTGTCTTACATTGCTGGTCCCAAGCCTGGATAAAGGAGGATTGCATCAAGTTGGCAACAGGCACTAAACCTTTTGCCAAACTCTCATGATTATGGATACTGATTTTAAAAAATGATTTAAGCACCCATATTTTCACAATGGATGTGGCACTGAACCGAACAGATTGGCAAAACAGGATTCATATAGCCAGCCCCTTCTAGTTAGTGTTAGACAAGGCTTAGATGATGATGATAAAGATGAAAAAAAAAATGCATAGCAAATATACATACACAATAGGTTGCAAAATGATATTGAAAGACAAGATTACGATGATTTGGATAACTAAAGACGGTCATAAGCAAGTAAAATAAAATTGGGAAGCCAGCTTATCCAACAATTAACAAATATATCAGTGGTAAAATAACAATGGCTACACCTTTGATGGAGGAATAAGCATTTTGAACTTGTATATTTCTCTTTTTTGTGATGTTCTTGTATCTTCTGTTTGAGGTGCTACCTTATCACTAGTAACATCATAGCTAAAGGTGATTGAAACACTAAATTTTTCCATGCCTTAGCAAATGGTAGGAAGAGGAAGAACTCAATTACTTCTTTATTGGTGGGTGGGGGGAGGGGGGTATTGAGATCACAGATCAAGGTGAAATCGCTAAGGCCTTTGCAAATCATTTCAGATCAATCATTCATAGAACGACCAATGAGAGGTGGTCTTTAGATGGGCTTGAATGGGCTTGGAAGAGAATCAAGTGGAATTCTTAGAAAAAAAGGTGAGGAGGAAGAAATCAAGGAAGCAGTTTTCTCTCTTGACAGATATAAGGCTCCTGGGCATGATGGTTACACAATGGCTTTCGTTCAAGATTGTCGGGAGATAATTAAAAATAATTTAATCAAAGTTTTTAGGGAATTCAACAGAAGGGGGCTGATGTAATAGAAAAGCAAGGGGTTAATGGGGAGACTGTATTTTTGGCATGCTTGTAAATTGATTATGTTATGAGAGGTCACCATTTTGAAAGGTGGCAGTTGTAATTCTATAGTTCTCAAAATTAATGAAAGTCACTGTTTCCTATCAAAAACAAATCCACAGAAGGGGAATAATCAGCCCAGGAATGAACTCCACCTTCCTAGCCTTGATCCCAAAGAAGAGAGAGGCTTCTCAGCCAGGGGACTTTAGACCTATAAGCCTAGTGACCAGCATCCATAAGATTGTGGCCAAGGTTTTATCTTTGAGATTCAAAAAGGTCCTTCCTTCTCTCATATTCCAGCTTCCAAGAGACCTTTATTCGAGATAGACAAACAATTAACCAAATCTTAATTGCTAATGAATGTGTGGAGGTCCAAAAATGGTTAAAGAAGAAGGGAGTAGCAGTCAAATTGGATTTGGAAAAAGTCTATGATATTGTGGACTAGGATTTCTTGATGGAGATTATGAGGAAGTATGGCTTTGGGACTTTGTGGTGTAAATGGATCAAAGGGTGCTTGCAAACAAGTCATTATTCTGTTATTGCTAATGGCTCGGTAGTTGGTTTCTCTAAGGGACTTCAAGGTCGTAGACAAGGTGATCCACTTTCTCCCTTTCTCTTTACTTTGGCAGTTGAAGTCTTAAGCAAGTTGATTTCTAAGGCAAATTCCTTGCAGATGTTTAAGGGTTGGGTAATAGGAAGAGATAGAGTCTTGGTCTCCCATTTGCAGTTTGCATATGATAAAATCTGAAGTTAGTAGTGAAGCTCTTCGAGAGGATATCCAACTTGAAAATCAACCGGTCTGAAAAATCTGTTGGCTGGTATCAATTTGGAAGATGATGGTTTGAGAGCAATGACAGAATCTTTGGGTTGTGAAAAAGGAAATTAGTCCCCGAACTACTTAGGTTTACCCTTACGTGGAGAAGGCTAATGGTGATGTGATGAGATCAGAACTAATGGTCCATCCTATCAATGTATTCAGATCCTATTCAGCATGGTGATGGGATGAGATCAGAACTAATGGCAGCAAGAAGGCTAAAGAATTGGGGATTGAGAGACTAATCATTGAAGGTGATTCAAAAATAGTTATGGGCTGGCTGAGAAAGGAGGAAAGGGTAATCTGGCAGCTAAGGACTGAGTTCAGGCACTTCAAACAGTTATCTAAATATATGCTCATCCAAATAAGATGGACTAGAAGATCTGCAAGTAGCATGCCAGATGGTCTAGCTAAGGAATTCAGAGACAATCCATGTTTTGGGCTCATTTGTAAATTTGGGATGGTTTGGGTTTGCTTTTTTTTCACAACCTCCTGTTGCATCTTTGTATGCCCTTGGGGGGAAACAGAAAGCTTTTGGAAGCCAATGTTAGAGAGGTTCACAAAGAAGTTGGCAATGTGGAAGAGAAATTATATTTCCTTGGGGGGAAGACTCACCTTGATAAAATCTACCCTAGCAAACCTGCCCACTTATTTCCTCTCCACCTTTAAGATCCTGGTGAAAATAGCTAGGAAGTTGGAGAAGATTATGAGGGATTATTTTGTGGGAACCGGGCGATGAAAAGAAAGATCATTTAGTGAAGTGGGAGCAAATTTGTTACCCTAAGGAGCAGGGTGGCCTAGGTATAGGTAACATATTAAAGAAAAATAAGGCCCTTCTAGGGAAATGGCTGTGGAGATTCCCTTGTGAAGAAGATAGGTTGTGGCACAGGGTCATTAAAAGCATTCATGGTGAATCAGATAACGGCTGGGATGCAAAACTAGCTTCCAATGCAGCTCCAAATTCCCCCTAGAAGGCAATCTTTGAGGTACTACCAACCTGTCTTCAATTTATCCGGTTTGGTGTTGGATGTGGCAATAAAGTTTTGTTCTAGGAAGACCTTTGGTTTGAGGATTTGCCTCTTATGGTTAAACTCCCGGACCTCTACTCCTTATCAAACCTTAAAAACAAACCTGTTGCTAGGATTGGTATGCTTCCAAATTTGGGTTGGGACTTTGGCTTCAGAAAAGGATTGAGGGAAAATGAATGTGAGTCCCTAGTGCTTTTGATCTCAACACTTGAGAAGCATGGTTCAAAGTATCGATACGCCTCTGCGTATCGGCAAAGTGGTATCAGTACTTTGAACCAGGGGGCAAATAGATCTACCTTGTACTGGGTAGAACTGTAGCTGATTGTATGTGGTTGCAGATTGGGTTAATGCATTTCTGCAACCTATAACTATTGTAACTGATTGTAACTTTTTCTCTGTTGTTAATTAAAAAACAAAATTTTTTGATAAAAAAAAACACCATAGGTTGTGTCATCTGTCCACAACAATTGAACAAGATGCATTTATTCACCCCCAAACCTATATGTTACTAGAGTTGCTTGTTACTAGCAGATCTGGACTCCAATGCAACAACCCCATGAAAAGAAATTACTTTACTATTCAAAAACAATGTACCATAGTCCACACTCCACACACAATATGACCTCAGGGGAATTGGAAGTTCTCCATTTGAGCTCATTCCACCAACAATAGGTAAGTGTGACCGGCATTACTATGTGACTTCCTTAATATACTTCCAGGGCCACTGGTTTGTTAAGGATGCATTACAGCCCAAAACTAGGGCTCCAATTAAGGTTATGCATTGTCCTTTTGAATAAACACCAACAGTGTGAGCTTGTCTTACACCAGTACACCACCAGTCCCAAGCCTGGACAAAGGAGGGTTGTGTCAAGTTCGCATCTGGCACTAAAAGATTTTCTGAACTCTCATTAACTGACTCCATGTAGTTGGGATAAGGTTGGATGATGGATGGATTACCGGCATCCTTTTGAAGAAGTAAAAGCTTGGGTTACATCATCGAAGTTGCAGTTGACTATTCTAGACATCAGACAACAAATGGACAGTGGTATCAGTTTCACCTATAACCAAATAGAAAAATGGATTCATTGCAGAGAATTCAAAGTGTGTCAGTTTCTGGCATTTGAAAAAATAAAAAGAATAGAAAAACTTTTCATTTGGAAAAATCTGATTTCATTGGAATGATTTTTTGATGAATGATAATAAATTTATTAATTCAGARGCADATTTAGAGTGARTTYATACAACATCCCAGGGAGAGGCGCGAGCTGCAGCCCCTCCTTGAATCTTACAAGTAAACTAGGAAAGAAAAGCACGAATCACAACTGAGCCCAAAACAATT